GAATCTTGATTGGAAGTTGAAAAGATTAGCAGCCAAAGGACTCAATATTATGCAATTTCTAAATAAGCATGGGCAAAACAAACAAACAAACAAATAAGAATAAATAAGCATGAGCCTAATTTAGAGCAGTGACGAGGGAAGAAAACTAAGAGTTATTAAAGACCTGTTATATTCAAAGTCCTGTGCTAGGCAATCATATAATGTGTACACTTGGGGTAGATACTATTGTCAGATTCCAAAGTCCACTTTGGAAGCAAGGAACTGAAAACAAATTTATGAGACTTGTTGGCCTAATTAAACATGACAGAAAAACAGAAAGAGGAAAGTAAGATGACTTATCAAGTAAGCATCTACTTGGGCAATAGCGGGACGCTTCCCCACTAACTGAGATCGGAAACACAGAAGGAGGGCCAGTTTGTGAGCTGAAGGAGATAAAGTTTTGACTCGTGTTGTGTGATAGCTATATGGGCCATCTTTGTGAGGTGTCCTACAAATGTTTGGAAATTTGTATCTTAAAGTTCAAGAAGAGAAGCTAATCCTGGAAAAACACTACAGAAATAAAGGCAAAAGCTTTAGAAGCATGGACAATAATATGAGCAAAGATACAATAGTGTGTTGCACACACAATTCATGTTCATGGCATGGCTAGCAGCTTAACAGACTGTTTAGACATGCACCTGTGTCTAATTGTATGTCCTAGGGTACACATGGCAGAGTAGTAGAGGGTGAAGTTGGAAAGATAAGTTTATACCTGATCTCAATTGCCCTAGAATTCTCGAATAGGCCATTTTCATTTTTTTTTTCACTTTTATCAAGAAGGAGTCACTATAGGGACGCCTGGGTGGCTCAGTCGTTAAACATCTGCCTTCGGCTCAGGTCGTGATCCCAGAGTCCTGGGATCGAGCCCCACATCGGGCTCCCTGCTCCGCGGGAAGCCTGCTTCTCCCTCTCCCACTCCCCCTGCTTGTGTTCCGTCTCTCGCTGTGTCTCTGTCAAATAAATAAAATCTTTAAAAAAAAAAAAAAAGAAGGAGTCACTATAGGTTTTTGTGCCAGTGTTGACTTAAAAGCCTGGCTTTCGGGAATACTGATGCAGCAGCATCATAGAAGCTGGACCAAAGGTGGGAGGCCAAGTGGAAGGCTATTGCATTAGTTTCCGTAAGCACTAACAAGAACCCGAAGAGGGCAGTGGCAGTAAGAACAGACATGAAGGAACAGATGGAAGAATTGCTTCAAAAGAAATTACTGTGCAGCACAGAAACCATTCTGCATATCATTAAATACGTGTAAGTTAATTTTGTAACTTCATTTGGCTCTAGCGCTTTCCTCTCCTCAGGTATGCAGAGCCTTCATAATTTATTGGTCATCTGTTTGCATAGTTCTTAATTAAGAGTTATAATTTCCTTGAGGAAGAGACTCAGACTGTTTTGTTCTGTACTGCTCCACAACATTCAGAACAGGCACTGACCAAATATTTATTGAGTGAGTGGCTGGATGAACCCTCCCCGGCACACGTCAGTGTGTTCATTTCCAGGTTCTCTCCACTCTTGCTGTCTACCTTGTCCCCATCTCTCATCCTCCCACCAAATATGTTCCTCCCACTCACCTCCTCAAGGTTGTTCACGAAGAACTTGCCTCACAGGAGGAACCACATTACTGAGAGTCTGCATTCAGTCAGATACTGATGTGCCTTTTTTCCGATCCTGCCTTCAACCAAGCTCAACTGCTTCTCTCTTTAGTATTTTTAATGTCATTCAGACATAGCCAATAACTTTCCAGTCATGTAAAATATTGAAAACTCACTTCCAATCCATGTAAGCCTCTAATTTTATTCACTTCATCCCTCCCCCACCACCGCTCCCCAAGTTTAGGCTTCCCCCAAGGGACTGGCATCTCTCTTTTCTGATTCCAAATTTCCCGCCACTGGAGGAAGAAGAAGGGGTTGGAAGGAAAAACAAACTTTTTTCTACTAATTGGGTTTGCTTTGCAGAGTTCTGGTTGGTGTCCCCATCCCTGCTCATCACTGGCTAACTGGGACCATCAGCCAACATCTGTATGGCAGGTGGCCAGGGATTGCTCTCTGTGTGTGTGTGCGTGTGCGCTTTGGTTGACCTCTGGGGACCCCAGTGCAGAGTTCTCTGGTAGGGGACATCTGACTCTACCCCAGATTGATTCAAGGCTCCCTAAGCTCATCCCCAGGATCTGCCGCTGGGGTGGTCAGGTTCTGGAGGGCTAACAGTAAAACCTTGCCGAGCTGTTAATTTCAACTCCAGTGAGCTTCTCTTCCTTCCTTCTTGCCCTTTCTCCCATTATTTCTTTCTGTCAGCTGAGGCAGTCAAGGAGTTTCCAGGGCTGCAGGGATTAGTCAGGATAGTAGCATTGGTTCAACCATCTCTTCATAAGTCCCGGAGAAAGTCCCTAGCCCCGATATTTTTATAACTCTATGGTATATGTAGGTACTTAGTACCTTTGTGCCTCTGCTTTGGATCCTAATCTCCAATTTTATGCAAACAACATTCAGTTATTTGCAACTGCCACTAAACTTCATTTTACAAACTCTGAGTTGGCGTTCACATTTGTAGCTATTGCAGAATAAATATTGTGTTAACTGTTACTGAACAAATGTTCAGTGAGTAGCTAAAATGGGTCAGTCCAAGTACAAGTGACATACAAAAGTTTGATGCTGTTCAGACTCTGATGCAAATGATGAATTATACTGTAACTCCCAATAGAAGACATTTAAACCTCAAAGTGTAAAATAGATTGGGGAGTGGAACAACAGGAAAGAGGAGAGGAGGAAAGGTAATTTAAAAATGAAGGAGTAAATATAATCCCAGAAGAAGAAAAGGGAGATAAAAGGGCAGAAGAAATACTTAAAAATATAATTGCCTTGGGCGCCTAGGTGGCTCATTTGGTTAAGCGACTGCCTTCGGCTCAGGTCATGATCCTGGAGTCCCGGGATCGAGTCCCACATCGGGCTCCCTGCTCAGCAGAGGCTCTGCTTCTCCCTCTGCCCTCTTCCCTCTCTTGCTCTCTGTCTCTCATTCTCTCTCTCTCAAATAAATAAATAAAATCTTTAAAATATATATATATATATATAAAATTGCCTTGACCTTTGATTAAGCCTGTCCAGGAGGGGAGCAAAAAAAAAAAAAAAAAAACAGCTACAAATTCTATTTTGGGGACATGTGGGGAATTTACATATGGACTGTATATCAGGTAATATAATTGGATCAATGTTAGATTTATTGAGTGTACTGTTTCTGTGACTATGTAGGAGAATGTCGTTGCTCTTAGAAGATGCATGCTGAAACACCAAGGGGTGAAGTTTCATCATGTCTGCTAAAGGTTCAGGGGAAAAAACTGTCTTCCCAGTGGTTCACCTAAAATAAAACGTGTGTTGCGTGCATGTGAATGAGGAAGTGGGTATAGAGAAAAAGGTAGAAACCCAATGTGGCCAAATGTTAACCTTGGGTGAATCTGGGTCCAGGGTCTTCTGGAACACATGGACATGCTCCTCCCAGCTCTCTCTTCAAGGAAGGAGAGTGAGTAGTCAGCAGACAGCCTCCAGCTGTCAGCACCTTTAGAATCTGCCTCCGCTGCGGGGGGCGGCCCCACTAGAGTCCTGCTTTTCCCATGGCAGCCGCATCCAGTGACGGAGAGCGTGGGGCACAAAGGGCCAGTCATGCTGCCAGCAGGGGACCTCTAGGAGCATGACCTGTGCTAGGGCTCCCCACTGGGTTCACAGAGGCTTCGTCAGGACCCATCACAGCCCGACTCCTCTTCTCTCCGACCCTCCTTCTCGTCCCTCCTTGCGTAGGTGTTGATCCCTAACGAACAGCTCAAATGCAAAACAAACAAACAAACAAACAAATGCAAGAGTAAGAAGAACCTCCAAAATGAGAATGCTGCATAGTGACAGAAAGCCTACCATGGTTAGGATTAAAATCTGAATCCCTGACAGCCAGACTAATCTTTTCTCCTCACAATTCAGAGTCATCTAGATTTCCATTAATATTTATCTTCTTGAATCTGAAGGAAGAGGGAAACCTATGTATTTTGCCCAGTTTTGCTTTTCCCATCCTGAATTGCAACATCAGGTTGGTGAGGTGCCAGTTGTCCGTAACGACGGAAGTATTAGATCCGCGGTGTGGCATGCAGAGCAACGCAAGTCCTCGAAGTGACTTACTTCAAAAGCCAAGAACCAGAAATTCAACCAAAATTTCAAATAAAAGCTAAAAAGACTAGAATAATCACACAAAATTTTAAACCCAGAAGTTTCTCTTGCTTAAATTACTTTCACACTCCAATTTAAACTCAGAAACGTTATGCTGCTGTCACACTTCTTTGTTCTCCCAAAGAAAAAAAAAAATCTGTATATAGCTGACAAAAAATAGGAACCTGTCTGCCAGCAAGTTCTCTATTCATGTCTAACATACTGTAGAGTCTATGCAGAACACATGGTCTTTAAACACCAAAAAGCCTCTTCTTTTCCTGGCTTAACACTGCAGTATGTTTCTCCGGCATGTTTGCACTACCTACATGTCTTGCATAAGCATGCATTCCTTTGGATGTTTGAGTCATGCAGTATTTTCACATGCTTTGATGTTGCACATATGAGAATTATCATCTACATTTTGGAAGTACAGTTCCTTGTGCCTTCAGCATGGAATTTTATACTGCTCAACTGCCATGATTTTAAGTTTCATCCAACAGAATGTCAATAATGTCTATGAACAGAAGTTTGACATATTTCGTTTTCTCAAATATGGAGTTGGTGCAGCAGCTAAGTTAGAAATTTCTGGGTGCACTTTTGAAAACTAATTCAGCGTGAAAATTATTAGTGACTTAGAATTGTGCATAAAGTATTTTGGTTTTCCTTATTTTCTTATCCACAAAGATCTGTTGCTTCAGATCGGATAAGTTTCCAAGTGGCAAGATCCATCTTGTTTGTCGGAACTCAAAGTAATCCTCATCCTAATGTGGTGTTCTTTATTACAGATGAGACCCATTGGCCACGACGGCTATCATCCCACTTCTGTCGCTGAGTGGCTGGATTCCATTGAGCTAGGTGACTACACCAAAGCCTTTCTAATTAATGGCTACACATCGATGGACCTGTTGAAAAAAATCTGGGAAGTTGAACTTATTAACGTAAGTTGGTCTCTTAAAGATACCTTACCCGTTCAACCTTTGATAAATGAAATTCCTGTTGTAGGTAGGTAATATTTTCTTTCTTTGTTACTATTTGGACATCCATCAGGAATTTACAGATATGCCTTCTGCTTTAAATATAAGTCTGTCTTGTTTCCAGTCAAGCTCCACAGTCATTGTCTTTTAAAGTTTGGATGCGGGAAACTATGAGGACTCTCAGGGTGTTTTGCGTTACCGAGAAAAACTTCCCAAGCATTTTGAGGCTTTCCATTTTAGAAAATTTAGTCAGCTCAGGATATGGACATGATAACAAATAGGCTCCCATCCTGATCTTGCTCATATTCACTGTTAAAGATTAGAGTTCTCAGTTTTAGTTTCCTATCTCTATTATGTTTCCCTGTCTCTATTCCTTGGCTGCATATATAAATCCCATTCTTGAAGACACTGCATTTGTTTTATTAAGTAGGCTGCTATAATATCAAAATTTTATTATCCAGAGTTTATATCTAATCTTAAGTTGTCTCTGTTTTATTTATATACTTGGCATAGATTTTCTATAAAAACTGGCCAACTTATGTTGCCATGTATTCAGGCCCAAAGAGATCAACTAGATCTACATAAATGGTATTAATACTGATACTTTACTTATTTCATTTTTACTGCTCGTTTATATCCAATGGCATCAAGGAATGAAAGAATGAAGAGGTAACATGTAATTATCATGCCTTCACCTTATATTTGGCATCCTGAACATTTCTTTTCCAAAATGAGTGAAAAATCATTTAATCTTTTAGAGAGTTTCTTAGATTTGAATTTTATATTCTAAAACTTTAAGAAACACTCATAACCTGAAAGATAAAGCAAATAAATTTCTGCCGGTTCAAAAGAGATTCATTCTACTCTCTATGCCACTTTCTCTCCACAAGTCCAGTCGCTGCATATTGCATGCCATTAATTATTTTAAATTATTTTTATTAGTAGTAACTAATTATTCTTTGCTTTTAAAGGTCTGTCTTAAAAATAATATCTTTTCTAGAACATCTCATAAAAACTATCCTTCGATCTAAAAATCACGGTAAATGGACTAATTCTTGGCCCCTTCTTCTAATTTGCTGGCCCCTTCTTCTAATTTGCTTTCTGTCCTTACTCCCTCACAAAAGCTATCATTATTTCAGCAGAAACTCACTGTCTGACTGAAAGCCTCTGATTAATTTTGTTCTTAGCCTATATGGCAACATAGCAGAACTCACAGAGAGTGTGTTGCATTCTGGTTGCATCCAGAGATTTCAGATCTCCACCAAGAATCCAGGACTCATCCGATGGCTACGGTTAGCCATTTGTTAAAGGGGGACCTTCCATAGATCAAACAAACATGTTTCCAATTAAGTGACATTCTAGTCAATTATACAACTTGACAAATATCTCTGCATAAAGTTTTCCAAATAATATTGTTCCCCACTGAAGAACAAATACTTAGACAGCATGAGTCACTCACTTAATGGGCATTAGCAGTAATCCCTCATTGAAAAAGAAGGGATGCCAATAGAGCTCTATGATAAAATGTTTTCTTTGAAGCAAGGCTCATCAAAGCAGGACTAGAAGTCTCTCAAAATCCAAATGCTGGGGCTAACGTTGAAGGTGTAAGCTTGGGCCCATACTCTTCCCAGTGCTGGGGGGACCAGCAGCCTAGGAATCCCTGTTCAGTCACTGTGTCCCTTGTGGATGACTGCATTAACTTCAGCCGGGGAGACTCTGAGGCCCTAGGTTTAATGCCAGGGCTCAGGGACTGATCTACCACCACCCACAGACCAACTAGGCTTGAGTTGGGACAGAAGAATAGCCTTTTCCACCCATACAGACTCGAAGCATTTTCCCTTTAGTTCCATGTGCTGTAATACAATCTGTCTTCAGTCCTGTGAGAAGTAGCTTGTCACAAGCATTGTTATCAGAACTAGAAAACAGTCACTGTGTCTGAGATCTTGAGGCCAATTCCTCTGGGCGGAGTACATCTGCATCTAATATCAACCCAGTATATTTTCCTTAAGCTGATAGAATTTAAAGTTTGTGACATCTTTATGGGCAAGTTCACACTCTTGAGGAGGCTTTTCGAGTCATTTAATTCCATAGGTTTATTTATTATAAACAAAAATCGATCTGTATCCTTAGACTTGGAAATCAGAGAACAAAATTTTTATGCCCACCAGAACTCTGCTACAAGGGTGATGCCTTTGATGGGTTGTTGGTTTTAAAATGAAAGAAAGGCACAAATGTGTGCCTTCTGGCTTACAAAGCTTTAGGCTAGTCTCAAATTCAAGGCTTTAATTCATCCCAACTAATGAGAGAAGACGTCCAAATATGAAATAATCTCATATATAATATATGGGCCCAGCAATTCTATATTAAGTACCCATAATTTGTTGTTTTCTGGCCTGAAGGGAATGTGCAGTCACTTTGATTTAGAGCAAAGCTTTTTAGAGAAATTCACATCCTGAATCTTTGTAATGAGTGGCTCATTTTAAGGAAGCCGTTTGGCTTCAGTAACTGTTGTTCTATGTAAAGTGAAGAGAAAAGTGCAAGGGGGGGGCTGTCTTTGATACTGGGGGCTGCTGGTGGAGGGGAGGAGAGCAGAGGGTGAGGAGGCTGGCTGTTGCTGTAATTACAAATACGTTTAGCATCACTAAATAGTATTGAGTAAGCCTCTAATTTCACATGGTATTTTGCTTGATATTTGAAAATAGTAACACATTCTCATTGGGTATAAGTTTAATCAAAGTATTTTCATGAAGAAATGAAAACTATACAAAATTGTGATTTGAAAAGTACAGATACATCTGAAATTATAATCTTTCAAAAATACCTCAAAGATTTTTTTGTGTGTGTGTGAAGTGCATTGTTACCTTTGAAAAACAAGGTTATTTGAATAACCTAATGAAGATTTTGGTCACAAAACTACCCAAAGTATAGTATAGGGATGAGGGAGATTAATAGAAATCTCATTTCTTAATATCAGCATTCTCAGCAGTGGAAATCAAGCAGAAAAGAAACTTTTAAGACATAGGTTTTACAGGCCCATGTGTGTCTAGACTTAAAGAATTTAGATGCCAATAATTGTTCCTTTTATTCCCTAATCCATGCTTCATATGCAGAAGCTCTTTTATTAATAGCTTTGTTTTGCCTGTGTCTGCTACTATCATTAATAACATCATTAATACTATTCTTACTTTTGTATTGATATTTTAGTGTTATGTGAATATATTGAGAGAGATTGTCGGGCAAATTGTTCCCTGTGCAGATGCTAGCTGGATAAACCTCTCGCTTGAATTATAGTCCTCTCCAAAGGCTTGTTGAGAGAGCTAAAGACTAGTTAACAGTGCATTAGTACATGAATTTTCTTTACTCATAAGTTTACTCAGGCCTTGTACAAGGTATTACCAAGTTTACAGAGCAGTTCCTACTGCTATTGATAACCTCCAGCAAAAAAGTATGGCAATTAATAATTATTATTAATATTTAATAATTTATTTTACCACTGAGTACCTACCAAGGGGATTTTGGTTAGATGAGATAAATTTGAACACTGTCCAGTTTCTTAATGTGTAAATCTTAGTGCAGAATATGTCATAAATTTCTTCCCAGTGGCTTTACCATTATTTACTAAGGAAAAAATTCTAGCCAATGCTTATGATATCCTACAATACTGATAATGATAAAAGTACCCACCAAGGTGTGCCTGGGTGGTGTAGTCAGTTAAGCATCTGACTCTCGTTTCGGCTCAGATTGTGATCTCAGAGTTGTGAGATCTAGCCCCATGTAGGGCTCCATGATCAATGCAGAATCTGCTTAAGACTCTCTCTCCCTCACCCTCTCTCTCTGCTCCTCCCCACCGCCACCCCACCCCCACCCCACCCACCCCACTCTCTCTCTCTCTTTCTCTAAAATAAATAAATCTTAAAAAAGAAAAGTACCGGGCGCCTGGGTGGCTCAGTTGGTTAAGCGACTGCCTTCGGCTCAGGTCATGATCCTGGAGTCCCTGGATCGAGTCCCATATCGGGCTCCTTGCTCAGCAGGGGGTCTGCTTCTCCCTCTGACCCTCCCCCCTCTCATGTGCTCTCTCTCTCTCATTCTCTCTCTCAAATAAATAAAATCTTTAAAAAAAAAAGAAAGAAAAGTACCCACCGAAAGAACAAAATAAAAATCAGTTTTAGTGCGTTCTTAATTCTCTGTTCATAAGTGCAAGAATAGCTTTAAAAATCTAACTACAGTGATTGGCTGTGTTTTAAATACCTTCGGATAGAAATAAAATAATTAAGGTAGAAATACCCATATGTGTCCCATGAAAATCATTTGACTTATTTTTTTCTTTTTTTTTCTTTTTTTTATTATGTTATGTTAATCACCATACATTACATCATTAGTTTTTGATGTAGTGTTCCATGATTCATTGTTTGCATGTAACATCCAGTGCTCCATTCAATACATGCCCTCTCTAATACCCATCACCCATTTGACTTATTTTTGCAGCAGAAAATTGATTAGAAGATCATTTGCTTCTTGCCTAACAGCTGCTGAAACTATACTTACATTACTCTTTCATTTAGGACTTTCAGATTTTTCTGGTTTCGGTTTTTTGCTTGGTTTGGGGTTTTTTTTCAATGTTGATTTAATTTCTACCTTTCCAGGGAAATTTTGTGATAATCTAATCACTTGGAGATGTACTAAGAAAATTTCAAATTTAACATTCTAATTTTATGTTAAATCTTTAATTATGCGACTTTATTTGCTTTAAGTGCTATAGAAATACAGTCCCATCAGTATCAGGTTTAGACTCAATACTTGCTTTGATGTTTTATTTCATGATCAGCATTATAAACTCTCACTCCTTTCTACCGTACCCTTCCTGCTTGTAACTGCAATTAAATTTACTCCCTAAAAGTCTTTTTTGCGTCGTGCATGTGAATATGTGTGTCCGCGTCTGTGTACACGCATCGGATAAAGGCAAA